TTTTTTTTTTTTCCCCCCCCGTGTGTGTGTTGTTTTTTTTGCTTTTTTTTTTTTTCTCAACCCCTCAAGAGCCAAAAAAAAAAAAAAATAAGGACAGAACCGGCAAAAAGCCACCAAAAAGAAAAAAAAATATCCTTCTTACAGAAACCTTCATTTTCAGGAGGAACCTGCAGAAGAAAATTCCTTTATTATTTTTGCCCCGCGTCACCCGGGTTTGCCTTTGCATTTCCCCCCGCCATGCCACATTTTAAGGCGAAATTCACCCTTTTGTTAGCATTTGAAGAAAAAACGCCAAAATAGGTTGGGTTTGGGGTTTTCTTTTTGCAGAGCCGCCCTCCCCCATGGCTCCTTTTGGGGTAGAACTCCGCTATTTTCCCACGTCAGTGGATGATATCAACTTTCCAGCAACAATATTGAATTCCCTTCCACCCAGGTCAATCTTGGCGGGGCGTTGCCGTTCAATTTTGGGTGAAAAGCTGCATTTTTTCTTAAACCCATTTTTTTCAAACCCATTTTTTCCTGACTCGGTGCCAAAACGCCCTGGGAAAGTCTCGCTCCCGACAGCCTTTGCCCCAACTGGGGTGTCCAGTCTCAGCCCTTATGGACGAGGTTTCCAGATTCGACGGATTTTTAGCACATAAATTAAAAGGTTTTGGGGGGGATTTCCTCCCTTTTCCAGAAAGTTGCATCCGGAGTCACCAAATGACCGCAGCATCGGGGCCAAAATGAGGAGGTTTGGGCAATCCGGTGGGTCACTAGCGCAAAATCCTCCTCAGATGTGACCCGAAGCAAAATTCGCGCTCGCCGGTTTTGGGTTTTTTTTTCCCCCGTGTGCTGATATTTATGCCTGTGAATCACCTTTTTGGGGAAAAAAAAAAAAAAAAAAAAAAAAACCCAAAAAGCATCAGTCCTGGGGTTGTTTGGGGTTTTGTTTTTGGGTTTTTTTGCACCAAGAAATCCATGTGACGGACGCGGTGGCCCACGGTGAAAACCCGCTGTCGCCCCACAGCATCCGAGCATCGTCTGGGGAAAACAGCTTCCCCTAAAAACGCTTTTTCTTACCAAAAACCAAGGGGGGAAAGGGGGAAATAAGAATAAAACCTGAAAAAAAAAATAATCTGGCCACAATATGTGCCTTGTAAACATGTGTCCTTCACTTCCACGTGCCGACGTGGTAGTCCCCGCGCTCCCGTGGACATCCGCCAGTGCCTCCAATTTGCTTTTTTTCTCACCAATTTTGTTTCGGTCCGTGCCATATTTTTTTTTTTAGCATTTTGGGGGGACTTTTTGTTTCTGGTGCCGTCAGTGATTTGGGGAGGGCGCAGGAGGAGCTATTCCAGCGAGTCACTGTGGTCCAAGCCGAGGTCGGCACCAGGAGCCGCCGGGAGGCCACCAGGCTCTTCCTCCAGCTCTTCCTCCTCTTCTTCCTCCTCCTCCATCTCATCCTCGTCCTCCTCATCCTCCTCCTCTTCCTCGGTGCCGTCAAGGGAGTCTTCGTGGGCCGCCAGCATGGCCTGCTGCATGGCCATGGTGGCCGTGGCCGACGAGAGGGGTTGCAGGTTGTCCATGCTGAGCGAGCCTAAAATTAAAAAAAAATAAATAGACATAAGGACTCCCCAGCTAATATAAAAAGGACCAAAAAAGGTGCATAAACCCAGAATAACCCAAGCTAAAATCTATACCTAGACAGGTCGCGTGTCCCACCTGCCCCAGCCACTCCCCAGGGTCCAACGCTTGATTTTTTTACCTAATGTATCTTCACGAAATAGCAATAAACCTTCATCTTTGAGCAAGTAGATGCCCGAATCGGTTGGGCAGATCTTCTTTTCATTTTCTCCTAATTTCCACCTTCTTTCCTCTTCATCTTCTCTGTTCGCATCTCGTCTAGTCCAGTCTCATATCTGCTCGCTTCACCTTCTCTTCATCTTCTCTGCTCCTCATTTTCCTTCATCTCATTTTCCTTCATCTCATTTCCTTCATCCTCTCTGCTCCTCAATTTCATCATCTTCTTCATCCCTCCATCTTCTCTTCATCTTATTTCTTCCCATCTTGTCTCAGCTGTCTCCTCATCTCGTCTTTTCATGTTTTTTTTTCATTTTGTCTCCTCTCCTCTCCCCATCTCCTCCTTTATCCCCTCCCCAGCACCTCAGGAGATAACCCCGAGTGATGCCCCATAGTGGGTGATCCTTGAGGGCTGTTCCTATGCCGAGGAGTTGGCTGTGCCCCATTGTCAGCGTCCTTGTGATGACCAACTGGAAGGACCTTCTTGCATTGACCACCTCTTCAACACCTTTTCCCCCACAGGGTGATAAAGGGCTCTAGAAATCCTTAATTAAGGCCACCCCATCCTGGAAGGGCAGGAGCCATCAGGCTTTGTCCTTACCGTCAGGATTTGTCCCCGAATTGCCACCCTGCTGCTGCAGGACCCCAGCGGCGATGGAGTTGGGCCAGAACCGCTGGGTGGGCCGGTGCTGAGATTTGATTTTCTTGGCTTTGGGGGCTGGGTCTGGGTTGCTGGCGTCGAGCATTGGCTGCAGGATGCGCCGCCGGGCATTAATGAACCTTTCCAGGGAAAACAAGAGACCATTCAAGTAAATAAAGAGTTGTTACATCGCTTTTGAGTAAAAACAACAATTATAGCAATTCAATGGAGCTGCAATACAAAACCCTTTTGAAAGTGGCTGTGTGGTCCAAAAAGCTGGAGTTTCACCCGATTTTATCCGTCTGTGGCATGTTACACCATTGCATTAATTTCTCCAGCTATGAGTTGGAGGCTGCTCCATCTTGGGTTTGCCAGGAGAGGGCACTGAGACATCGCAAACGAATGCCGCCAATTAAACACATCCGAGCCCCTCTCCCAGAAATCATCCCTAACCGCCCGAGTTACCCCCAAAAAAGCATTATAAAGCACCAAAATAGCGTGGGGGAAATAAAAAAAAAAAATTCTAAAGTCAGCAAGATGACTGCACGGGCCACCGATGCGCTCACCAGTTGTTGACTTGCAAGAGGGTCAGGTTGGTTTGGGCAGCGATTTGCCTCTTCTCGTCCTCTGTGGGGTAGGGGTGCTGGGGAAAAAAAAAAAAAAGAGAGAGATGGGGCAGCGAAATGACATCCCTGTGTGCAAAACCAGCAGCCTCGAGTGGAAAAAAGGTAATTAAACAGTTAAAAAAAACCTTTTTTTTTTTTTTTTCGTTTTCCCACCCCAAATTTGGTGGCTTCTTGCATTGGCAAGATGCAAGGCTTAAGGGTGGCATCTGAGAGCATCACGGTTTCCTCTGCGTCCTTAGGGCTTTTTCAAGGCTTTCCGTCAAAGGCTTTTCCTTGAAGGAAAATACTATTTTGTTATTTTATTTTTTTTTTTAGTTCTAGCAATTTTTTAGTAATGGTTGTTGGTAAAAGTGGAATTTGGGCTTCAAAATGTGCTGTCACCCACAACGCTCGTTGTCAGGTGCATCAGTAAAACACACTGAAACATCTACAACCGAAACACCAACAACCTCCTCCCAACCGTGCCTAAATCCTCCTTTCCAACACCAAAAATGATATTATTATCTAACCAGCCCCACGTGTCATTTTCGGACCCCCAAGCCAGCACCAGCGTTGATTCACAAGACTTGTTTTCCAGCTGTTTGCCCCCAAAATAGCGCGGATTCCTTAACAAAACCACCCAAAGTCAGGGCATGCAGAAGACTCTTGTCCCACCAGGCCCTCAGGGGTGCCAAAGTGGTTAAAAATGGCTCTGTTTCACCAAAGGTATCCCCATTTTTGGCATATTATTTCCAGCATTCCTTCCTCCTGCTGGTGCTATGAAACTTCCAAACGCCACAAAATGATGTGCATCAACGCTATTAGGTTAAAAACCACATCATCTATGATGCCAGATGGAGAAATCCCACTGGGAAGCCCGAGCATCTTCTGACCGTGAGGACCAGGCTGAGAGGCAACGTCCAGCCACCCAGTAGAAGCATAATTTCTTTTGGTTTTCGATCCAGTTTTGGAAATCTCAAACCGTAGGGTTCTCCTGGCACCCGGCAAGAAGTTCCTCCTCAGTTTCTGGTCTTCTAAATCCTCCTTCTGCTTGCAAATCTGCAGTTCAGCTCTCCAAAAACATGGGAGATGCACGAGGCAGCTTGGGATGGCGGCCCAACACAGCGATGCTCTTGTCCTCAATGCAGTAAATTCAAAATTTCCCATCAAAAAAAAAAAAAAAAAAAAACACTGGAAAGTTCCCAACCAGCTGCTGCTCCGTGTCCTGGGTCATGTTTTATGTCAAGTTGCTCTTTGGAGCCGCTATTTTCTGTCTTGCTGTTATCTGCGGCTCTCCCACCTTCCTGAAGACCTTCATGCAACTCTTTGCAACTAGTGATTTCTTGGCAAAATGACTGAGGGGAAAAGGGAGTTTTTAAGCTTTTTGCCTTTCTTCCAACTCTGCTGGTGGGACAGCAATCTCCTCGCACGAAAATACCCCAGTTGCATCCTCTGAGCTCCCTCAGCCTACCTACATCTCCACCGCCAACCTCAAAAACGAGGCGATATCGCAATTCCCCATTTCAGCTGATTGCTGATGTGCCACAACCACACCTGTGGGGCAGCTTGCTGGAAAACGGTATTTTGGAGCTGTTAACTGGGGAAAAAAAAAACGCTCTGTCACCCAAACCGCAATATTTTGTGGAAGTCCCCCTCTGGGTTTGTTTGCTTCTTCATGCGTTAAGGAAGCATTTTTGCCACCTGCAGTGAAAACGGTCATCCGCAAAATACTCCCAAAATAAAACCAAAGCCCCTTTGTGTCCCTGAATATGAATTCAGAAAACCCACCAACTCGATTTGTTCTGTTTTAGGGGGTTTTGCCTTTTTTTTTTTCCAGCTTTGCAGGGTGTTTTGGTGGCTACAGTGCTCACCATGAGATGCTGGAAGAGCCATGAGCGCATGATGTTGGTGGCATGTTTGGGCAGGACGCCCCGCTTGTTCTTGGACTTCTTGTCCTCCCCATCGAGGAGGGAGGTGAGATCCAGGTTCACCTGCCAGGGGAGAAGAACAGGGGGAGAACTGGCTGAAAATGGTGATGGACAACCCAAAACCTGAGCGAAACCAACCCAGAACCAGAACAAAACCAACCCCAAAAATGAGCAAAGCCAACTCAGAACCAGACCAAAACCAAGCCCAAAAATGAGCAAAACCAACCCAAAACGTGAGCAAAACCAACCCAGAACCTATGCAAAACCAATGCTAAAAATGAGCAAAACCAACGCCAAAACGTGAGCAAAACCAACCCAGAACCTGAACAAAACCAACCCAAAACGTGAGCAAAACCAACCCAGAACCAGAGCAAAACCAACCCCAAAAATGAGCAAAGCCAACCCCAAAACCTGAGCAAAACCAACCCAGAACTTGAACAAAACCAACCCACAACCTGAGCAAAGCCAACCCCAAAAATGAGAAAAACCAACCCAAAACCTGAACAAAACCAACCCACAACCTATGCAAAACCAATGCTAAAAATGAGCAATACCAACCCCAAAAGTGAGCAAAACCAACCCAGAACCTGAACAAAACCAACCCAAAACCTGAGCAAAGCCAACCCCAAAAATGAGCAAAGCCAACCCCAAAAGTGAGCAAAACCAACCCAAAATGGCAGTGGGGTGAGTGTGAAAAGGAGGAACTCATAGGAGCATCCAAAACCCATTTTTTCCAAAAAAAAAAAAAAATCCATTAAATCCCTATTTTTACCCCAGGATTCTCTATTTAATATCTCTATTTTTTGGCCAAAGCTTTGCAAAGGCCAATGGGCTTCTTCTCCCTGCGGTGGCACAGGCACCGTTGGGGACGATGGTGCCGATGTCATGGCACCATCATGTCATGTCAATTGATGTGCAATTAAGGGGGAAAACATTTTTACCTTAAAAAAAAAAAAAAAAAAAACCTGAAAAACCAGAACAACAAACCAAACCAAACCAAAAAAAGATTACTATCTCAACCTGAAATTAAAACGCTGCCGCTCGTTCACCCCTGGCAAACCTGCGTTCCTCACCCAGCTGGTTCCCACCACGAGGAGAAGCTAAAATTTGAGCTAAAATTTGTTTCCCTCCCCCCGTAAAAAATTAAAAAATAAGCACCTTGCTGCAAGAAAAGTTTTAATGAGGTTGCGGGAACCAAACTGAAATCTCAGCGCTTCAGTTAAAAAGGGAATTTTTATTTTTTTATTTTTTTTTTTCCCCCCAGCTCTTCATCAAAACATTTCTCCTGGATGAATTAAACATCAGGGCAGCAGGTCCCTGCGATTCCCCTGAGCTCCGGCTGAATAAATCATGCCGGCGGCGCGGGAAGAGCATCCGGAGGTGCTTGTCCGGGGCTCTCTCCCTGCCCCCGATATTCCCTCCGCGTCTGTTTTTCCCACCGCAGAGGGTTTTGCTGCAAGATTTAAGCCCGCGACGGTGAAATATTAAAGAAAAAATTTTTAAAAAAAGCATTACACGGGCAATAAAACCCGTCGGGGAGGTGCCACCCATTGCCAAAATGTCATTTATTATTATTATTTATTTTTTTTTTTAAGATGCTCCTGCAATTATATTGAAAAAAAAAAAAATTTGCATGGGGAGGATTTTGGCTGATCGGCTCTCGGGAAGCAGAGTAGCAGAAATCAGTATTTTTTTGCCCCAATTCCTGGGGGACAGAGATGGGGTGGGAAAAGATCACGGGCAACTCAGCCAACAGGGATAGCAAATTGTCTTTATAAATCCATTTTTACCCCAAATCGTCAATTTATTGCAAGAACGCAGCTAACGGGGAGAAAACCCCGTACAGTTAATGGCAGTTATAAAAAAAAAAAGGAATGAAAGCTGAGCGAACGGCTAAAAAATACCCCCAAAATCCCTAAATTAAGGGAGAAAATGAGCCTTCCCCATGAACGCTGTGATTGCTGTACCGGACGGGCGATGCCAATGGTCCTACATCCCTAATATAATAGCAATAATATATATAATATATACTGTACTGTGTTTTTTATTTCATATTTCATGCTTTAGACTTTAAAATATATAATACGGCGATAATACAAGCGTTACTATGTTGTTGTAATATTTAATGCAGGAATAATGTAAGTGTTACTATATTTTATAATATATAGTGCAGCCATAATATAAGCGCTCCTATATTTTATAATATATAACGCAGCAATAATATAAGCGCTCCTATATTTTATAATATATAATGCAGCAATAATATAAGAGCTCCTATATTTTATAATATATAATGCAGCAATAATATAAGCGTTCCTATATTTTATAATATATAGTGCAGCCATAATATAAGCGCTCCTATATTTTATAATATATAACGCAGCAATAATATAAGCGTTCCTATATTTTATAATATATAACGCAGCAATAATATAAGAGCTCCTATATTTTATAATATATAACGCAGCAATAATATAAGCGTTCCTATATTTTATAATATATAACGCAGCAATAATATAAGCGCTCCTATATTTTATAATATTTAATGCAGCAATAATATAAGCGTTAGGTACCCCAAAGGCGCCCGGCAGATGGCTTTAATCACCGTTTCTTGCTAATTAAAAATTTAGGAGGCTCCGAGGTTGGAATTTCTGGAGCAAGCGGGGTTTTTTTTTGCGGCCGGGCAAAATATTGCGCAAAATGGAAATTTGAGGTGGGAAGTTCTTACCTGGGCGTTGGGGATCTGCAGGGCGCCGGGGGCGATGGCTTGGGCGAGGACCTGTCCCTGCGATGTCACCATCGTCACGGGTTGGTACAAGGCTCCACCTATGGGAAAAGGAAAAAAAAAAAAAAACCCTCGTGGGGGTACCGAAACCCGCCCCAAAAATAAATTCTACCCCTCCCCAGCGGCTTCTCCGCCGTGGTCCCTACCTGGCACGGCGGGGGGGGCGCCGCCGGCGGGCCCGGGCCACGTTTTTTTTTTAGCCGTCGGCACCACGATGCCCGGCGGCGGGTTGGATGCGGGCGGCAGCGCCGCGGGTGAGCTCTGCAGCATCTCCTGCAAAGAAAAACAAACAAACAAAAAAAATACCCAAAAAAGTGAATTTTAACGGGCAGCGGGAGCACGCCAGGTTTTAATTTCCCCCCTTCCGTTGCCTGTTATTTTTTTATTTTATTTTTTTCTCTAGGTGGTTCAACAAACAAAAGTGCAGGAAAAAATCGTGATTTTTCAACTTGCTGCCATTGGGGGAAAAAAAAAACAAAAACAAAAACAAAAAAAAAAAGGTGGGAGAATAAGGATTTACGCTTTGCAAACCTCCCACTTCGCATCTTCCCCAAAGTCGTCTTCTTTCTGCAGCCGCTATTTCCCATAAGGAAAAAGGAGAGAGGAAAAAAAAGAGTGTGATAGAGAAGTAAGAATTTTTTCCATCTTCTTCTTCTTTCTATAAATTTCTACTTTTCTGGTGCTTTGACTGGAACTAAAGCTAAAAGCAAAAACACCGCGGTCTCCCCTTGCCAGAATACTTGTGAAATAATGAAAATAACAATAATATAACCTAATTCTACATCATTCCTTGCAGCTTTAAGCCAACTTCCTGCAAAAAAGGGCATTTTTTTTTTAGCTGGGAGTATCAGTCCCGGCTCAGGAGTGGCTTTTCCATGCGAGAAACTATGGGGAAAAGCCCAAATTGAAGGATTATTTGAGTGTTTAATGCACCATTTTGGGAAGGGAAGGGTGCTGCGACTGAGGATACGGGGGAATTCAGGGCGATGCATCACAGTCTCCCAGACGGGCAGAATTTTTGTGCGTTATGCCAATAATATTTAGAAAATCATCCTTTCAAAGTAAGCTCAAGGTAACCATATAGCTGTAATTTGGCCAGCTGTAATGGAAATAAAACTGCGCTCATTTCTTGCAATAAAAATATTTTTTCCCCCCTTTTCCACCCATTTTCCCATCCTGCATCTCTTCCCCCGTGTCCAGCTCGTTCTCAACTGTCGAGCAAAAAGCCAACAAAAGGGATTTTTTTTTTTCTCCTTTTTATTCCATTTCCCTTCATTTTGATGCATTTCTTCAAGAAACCTATTTCTTAGCTTAAAAAGAGAAGATTCCTCTCCGCTAGCGACATGCAGTGACACTGGAAAACGTGACCAGGCAAAGGCGGTCGGGTCGGAAAAAGCCGTAGCTCCTCTTTCTTTTTTCTTTCCCTTGCAATAAAAAAACCACGGAAATGGTAATTTGAATTAATCAATTAATTTTACATCAAGAGGTGATGGGGGCGCATCGTTGGGTGGGGAGTCAAGCGTACCCTTGTGTCCACATTGCCGCATTTCCCATTCCTGGGGGGAAAAATGTTATTTTCGGTCCTTTTTTTTTTTTTTCGGCTTTTCCCCATTAAATTCATGCTTCTATCAGCTTTTTTCCCCATCGCTCACCACCCCTTTGCCTGTGCAACGGTTCTGAATAAACTCGGGTTTCCTGGCATGCTTTTGCTATTCAAATCCCTTGCTGCACTTTTCCCCTCCCGTGATGCCGAAATCAAAACGTTGCAACCTCTGCCTGATATTTTTGGCCTCTCCGTCGATGATCTAAATAGTATCGATTTGGAAATTTTGCTGCAATTGCTGTGAATTTTTCCTTCGTCGTCCAGAAATTCCTTTTCATAGTTAAATTAATTTTTTAAAAAATGCAAATATGACCATAAAATGCTTCCAGAAATTCCTTTTCATAGCTAAATTAATTTAAAAAAAAAAATGCAAATATGACCATAAAATACTTGTTTGGGGTTTTTTTCCACTGTCCTTTCCCCATCTCCAGCCTATTGGAGGAAACGGTTTTTGGTTTGAAACATGGGGATTTCTCAGCATACAGAAAGCACAAATCGGTTGCTTTTGCAGGGCGCTTGGACTTGGCTTTTGCTAAGAATCCAGCTAATAAACTCAGTGGAAATATTCATATAAAACCAAATGTGGTCCCTGGAGAACCTCAAAAAGCAGTCAGATACAGCCAGGGGTGACCCGAGGCTCGCACCAGCCTGGGGACCTCCAGCTTTCCTCTCCCGCCTTGTTTTTCCATGATTCCTCTAAAAGAAGGGCATCCAGAAGACTATTTTTGGAAGTGCATCGGGAAGAAATAATTTGGGATATCGGAAAATGGGAAGAAGAAACTGCCATTTCCAGATATAGCGGTCAAAGCCATTCGCAACAGCACTTTATGATGATCAAAATAGCAATTTTTTGGTGGCGTAGAAGAAAACCGACCCAAAACACCAGCTCAGAGACATCCGAAAAGGCAGAATATTGGTAATTATTAGAAAAAGATATGAAAGAAATTCATGGTGTTTCTGCGACAGCACTGTGAAACCGCGGGCACCCAATGGAAGTGGAGGCTCTGCCTTAAAATAAATATAGATGATCTCCAGGAAGACTTAAAAAATATATTTTGCATACTAATTGCCTTGGATCGCAAATGCCAGCCAAATTTTATCACGCTCGCGGTTTTTGCCGCAGGCAAAAACATTTTATATTTTAGGACTGAAAGAAGTTGAAATGCTTCCGGCAATTTTGAAACTTGAGTGTAAAAAAGAAACGCATCGCTAGGTGTCTCTGCAGATCCACGTCTTGGCACTGCCCTTCCGCGGCTTTATGGCAAAACACAATTTCCCCGAATTAAAAGTTGCTTTAACCAAGAAGAAGACCTGGTACATATTGCATTACACAAAAAAAACCCAAAAACCCACCTTTCTTACAAAAAGACCAAGTGCCCAAGTGAAAATAAGCGCTAAAATTTGCGCTGATGTTCTTCCCCTTGTGCTTTATGACACAGTGATTTATTTTTGGGTGGCGCACATGCGTAAAAAACTTCTAGCTCATCTTGACTTTGTGAAATCTATTTGTGCTCGAGGAAAGCTGGAGTTTAGTTGGAGAAAAAAGAAACCCATGGGTTTGGCGAGGAAGAGTTGGCCAAACTCAAACTCACGAAAGAAGATTCGTAACACTCCTTCGCAGATGGACGGGTGGATGGATGTTGATGAGGAAAAAAAAAAAAAAAAAAAAGTTGGCTTTAAATAACAGAGAAATCCGGGGTTGTCCACAGGGGAAACTTGGAAAAATCGAGCTCTGTAGTACCGCCTCGTGTCCGGCCAACCCAGCTGGCAGCCTCCAACCACCGCCAAGGTGGAGAAGGAATTAGAGAAGAAGAAATGCTGTCCTAAAAATGCCCATTTTAAACAATGCCAATCTGCTGCAATTCAAAACGAGGGCTGGAAAAAGCAACATTTAATCCAATTTAAACGTCCCTGGCAGTGCTGTGATTCCCAGTGTGACTGGCTTTGTGGTGGGTTTTTTCTTGCACGTGAAGTCAACTGGAGAGCAGCGAGGACCATTTTGACGTCGAAGAAAAGTTGAACTAGTTTACTTTTGGGTTAAATCGCCTTTTTCTCCCCCCTCTGTGCAACAAGCACCTCCCCTCTCCTGCCCTTGTCTGAAAAAGTCAAAAAATATTCATTAAATGAAGGGAGGGAGTTAAAAAGGGTCCGCTGAGGACTGAAGGGAGAGGAATGAAGCCAAGTGAAAAACAAATAAGAAAAATGGAACAGCTTGGTGGACTTGGAGGCTTTAGGAGGCCGAAACTCCTCCACAGAACAAAGCGAAGCACAAAATGCGAAGGCCATGGAGAACGCTGGGTAGAAAACGTCTGTAAGGAAACGAAGGTTCAGGGAAGGCTCACTACATAGGAAAAAGACTTAACTTTTCACCCCAACTTGGCCCATGCCAGGAGTCATCTCTAGACTTGGCGACATGAGAAGACTTCAGCAACAGGCAAAACACCTATTTGGGTGCTCTCTCATCTTTCCGTCACCTTCCAGGCATTTTTGCATTTCCAGAAATTCTTGGCGTTTTTCATCTTGGAAGGCACAAATAGCACCAAGCCAGGGGACATCCTTTTCGGATAGAGCGGGAAAATCCAACCACGATTCTCTCCCGCGATGACATTTTTGACAGCTCCAGATATTGTTTTCTCAGTTTTGGTTGACATCTCTGTTATTGGGTATCCATAATTTTTTTTTAGGCGGGCTGTCCCATGGTAAAAAACTTTGCAAGAAATTGAAATATTTTGCTTTCATGACCAACCTGGCGGATCTGCTCATAAAATGATCAATGCCCGTCCCATAGCCTGAGAAAAACTAATTTCTGAGGAAACTCGTTCATTGATATTAATCACATCTCCATTATTTAGATTTAAAAAAAAAAAAAAATTAAAATCCTAAATTAGTGGCCTCTTAACTGTTTTACCTTCCCTCAGTGTGAGATTAATAGGAAGATAATTAGCAAAATCATCCGACTTGCCTACTTTAAATATGGATCCTATGATCCTTCAGCTCTCTGGAACATCCCCAGCCTTGCAAACTCAACTGATGGATATAGAGTACTTCCACCACTTCCACCCATTTTTTTAAGCCTTATGCACACAAACTCAAGTATACTCAATGAATCGAAGCACTTGACATTGCTTAGTTGGTTAATTAGAAAAAAATGGCTGTTGTATTGTAATCCTCATCCAATGACCAGATGAGATGGTAGCTCCTTCTGGTCCATCACCATGAATATCTCGGCTCTGGCTAAAAATCCCTTCATCGCTGAGCCAGTGTTTTCCCTCCAGTTGGGTTTTTCCTGGGTGCGTTCCCATTTATTTAGAAACTGCCTCCAAATCCTCACTCGAATTTCTCAACTTTCAAGTCTTGCCCGGAAGGGAAACGTCGGCAGCTCCGGGTTTGCAGGAATCAGAGGCGCTTGGTACCTCTCCATGGGCCTGATTATTTTCCAAAGACTCGTGCTAATTTTCTGATACGATCCCCACCTCTTTGTGAGGCACTAAATCCTCATTACTTTTCCTGACCGATGCATTCTAATTAGATCAACACTTTAAAAAAAAAAAAAAAAAAAAGGAAAAGAGGGGGGAAAAAAATCACAATAGCCACAGGACGGCTTTCCATCTCATTAACTCCCTCACTTATTATTTTCATGAAAATTACTGATAAAAAACGTGCATCTCCATTTGCTGGGACCGGGAGCTTCGTCGGCTCATATCTAACATCTCTCTCATCACCCGGGATGCGAGCGGTTGCCATGGCGACGCACAATAATAGAAACTAATAAATTACAAACGAGATGCTCGTTGAGCAATTATTGTTCTCTTTTATGCAAGTGTCTTGCTAATTTTGATCATAAGGAATGCTACCATAAAGCAGGGAGGGGATAATAAGTCCATTTCTAGAGATTATTAGAAAATAGAGAGAGGACGGGTGGTGTTTTTTTTTTTTTAGATCAATGATTAAGTGGTTTGGCGCTTTCAGGGAACCCAAATAAGAAATGAAACTTTTTGCGGGGCTTTTCCCTCCCCAGGCTGGGCCGCAGGCGTCATGTTGAGAGCTTCAAACTCCGCAGCGCTTGGAGCCGAGCTGCTAAAAATTGCATTTTTTTTTCCTTTCCACCACCCTACAAATGCGCTATAAAGCCCTAAAAAAGACCCCACCACCTGCCTCCTTCTTGGGGAGAACCCTGGGTTATTTTGGATTGGCTGCAGTGATTTATGGTGGGATTGCGCAACCCCAAATTTAATTCCCCCCCCCAAAAAAACATCGGTCGTCTCAGAGAGAGAAGAATCCCCGAGGGACACACAATATTGCACCAAGGAAGTTTTTGGGGGATGCAACCAGCCAACATTTATTCCCCGCACAGGTAAACCCTAACCCATGGGCAACTTTTTTTTTTTTCCACATATTTAGTTACAATTCCTTATTTTGCCATTGTTTGGCCTTATTTGGCCATTTCAGTTGATATTTCTGCAATTCTTGGGCATCTCCTTGTACTTTCCCACTTTTCTTGAGGCACCAGATGTTTCCTTCTCACAGCTGAAACCCAAATTGCGCAAATGAAAAAAGTCAAGGTGGGAATGTTGATCGTGCTGGGGGAGAACTGCAAGATGCGCCCCGGTGAAAAAAAGGAAGCCAAAAGTCGTTATCTGAGACCCAAAAAACTGTTGAGCTGCCTCGAAACAAAGACAAGAATGGGGAGAGAGGAAGTAGCGGAGGAAATCTGCCCCAATCAGAGGATTCTGCCCCTCTACTCCACTCTGGTGAGACCCCACCTGGAGTACTGCATCCAGCTCTGGAGTCCCCAACATAAGAAGGACATGGACCTGTTGGAGCGCGTCCAGAGGAGGGCCACGAGGATGATCCGAGGGCTGGAGCACCTCTCCTATGAGGAGAGGCTGAGAGAGTTGGGGGTGTTCAGCCTGGAGAAGAGAAGGCTCCGGGAAGTCCTTAGAGCCCCTTCCAGTCCCTAAAGGGGCTACAGGAGAGCTGGGGAGGGACTTTTTACAAGGGCATGGAGCGATAGGACAAGGTGAAATGGCTTCAAACTGGGAGAGGGCAGGTTTAGATTAAACATTAGGAAGAAGTTTTTCACTTTGAGGGTGGTGAGGCACTGGAACAGGTTGCCCAGAGAGGTTGTTGAGGCCCCATCCCTGGAGGTGTTCAAGGCCAGGTTGGACGTGGCCTTGGGCAACCTGGTCTGGCGGGAGGTGTCCCTGCCTATGGCAGGGGGGGTGGGACTCGATGACCCTCAAGGTCCCTTCCAACCCAAACCATTGATTCTATGATTCTATGAAATCATTCTGTCCCTCCTGCCAACAAATAGCCGTAGAGCAACCCTCAAACCTCGCTGGCCCAACTCGCCCCTTGGCCAACGTGCAACAAGGGGGACTACCGGCGATTTTTAGAGTGTTACCTGGGGGTGGAGGCTGATGGAGGAGGGGTTGGGGGAGTAGGGCCCCCCCAGGTCGTTCCTGAGTAGGTTGTCGCTGTGCATCTTGGTTTTGAGGCAGGTGATGTAGCGGTTGCAAAAGTCCTTGCACAACTCGTTGACCTTCTCCAGCTCCAGGAGGTGGATGCGCAGCACCTGGATCGCCTTCACCATCTACGCGAGGACACATCATGGAGAAGTTAAAATCATTTTTTGTTCCTCAACACATTGAAAAAAAAAAAAAAAACCAAAAAATCAATATTCTCACCCAAAATCTCACCTGGAACCTGTCCCTACAGTAGAGCTAAATGCATTTACTTTCTCAACACACCAACGTTCTCAACACACCAAAAAAAGCCAAAAAACCCCAATATCCTCACCCAAAACCCATCCCAGAGCCCATCCCTCTCCACCTCCACGTTTCTTTTCCCTCCCCATCAATCATAGCCCTGAAAGCCCAAGAGGCAAAAATTCCCCCCAAATTCCCATTGCCTTCATGGGGAATTGCTCCCCGCGCCCCCCAAAAAAAAAAAAGTCCGAGCCAAAGCCCTGGATGTCGAAAAGTGTTTGGTTATCCTCCGGAGGCCACTTCTTCTAACAAGATTATGGGGCTGCAGCTCCGCTGTAAGCCGTTGCCGGCGCAAAGCCTGGGCCTCATTAAAACGTACCCCATAAACGTTAAAAAATTTACACATAAAACATTCCCCTCGCCGAGCTGAAACCTTAAGTTTTACAGCCGCTGTTTGAAATCTTGCATAATATATAAAATTTCAGCTATTCACTCCGGGGCAATAAATCCGGTTTTATGTAACAAAGCGTCTTTGCATTTCAAAGGGTGTTTTTAACTTGCAAATTTTAGTGGTCATCTTTACAAACTGCGAGTCCGCCACGGTTGGGAAACATCCCGAAGAAAAAATCCAGGGCCAAACTCGGGTGGCGGCTCCGCGCCGAAGAAAGTGAATTTTTGGGTTGGCAAACAACAGGGATGATGTGCTGTGGCTGGAAAAATCCTTTTTTTATTGCCCTTTTTTTTTTTTTCCCCCCTTTTTTTTCACTTTTTTGTCCGCTTTTTCTTCCTCCTCCGCAGTTGGCACAGGCAGAGCGCAAGGTGGAGGCGTCGCGCCCGGGGCTCTCCGCAACCTCCCAGGGCTCAATGGCCATGAAAGTCAATATTCAAGGGCAAAGGCAAGAAGACCTGACACATATATGTGTAAAAAATAAATCTCTCAATTATCTCAGCTCATTTGCTTAGGGTCTCATTTTATGTCCCTGCTCCGCTGCGCCGTATATCTGTCCGGATAAAGAGTTACAGTCCGACGGCGTACGTGCGCGGGGTTGTAAAAAATACAGATGCTGAATTAATTGACTGTGTGGCACTCGGCAGCTGATTGAGTTGATAATGGTGAGATCTGACCTTTTTCTAATTTCTAATTATGTGCATCTCGGCGGTGAGGAATACATGACTCTTATTCTAATGATAGCTAATGCCGCTGGCCTTTTCATCCCCTGCTTTGCCATCGCCGATTTCTGGGGAATCGGTGGCTTTTTTTAGAAAAAAAAAAAAAAAACAACCAAACCACCCAAAAAATAACCCCCAAAAGGGACAATGCAAATATGGAAAAAAATGTCAGCTCAGGAACAGGTGGAAATGTTGAGTTTTGAGCACTGCAAGACTTTTTCATCCAAAACTCCCTCCAGTTGACGCTTCCCACCAACAGGAACGGTCTTTCTTCGGCACCGCGTTACCTATCTCCTCCGTCTTGATGGAGGCCAACCGCACTGAGCGATTTGAATGGATTTTCAAGAGGTTTGGGGCATTAGATTAAAATATATACATACAGCTATTTCCTAGAAATAGAGCAAAACCACATATATATATATAAAAACATAAATATATCCACTACTGCGAGGCCATCTATGGGATCGACGCATATCTCCACAGTGAAATGTCACCTCAGCAGCAAGAATTGCACCCAAACAGGACGCTTATGGCACAAAAAACATGATTGGTGTGAGGTTTTCTTGGAAGAAACCACCAAAAAACAGTGAAAATTGCCTCTGTGGACACATCTCCTGCACTGACCATTTGCAGGAGGTGTTTCACCTCGGTAGACGTAGGAATAGATTTTTCTCCCCCAAAATTTTAGACTTTTTTTTTTAGCTTCAGCTGCTTTCGTCTCTCTCCTCTTGCTAAGTCATCGCACCCTTTTTAATCTAATTTAATGTTTTTTGGGGGCACCTCAACATTCAATGCGCATTCAGTCCCAAAACTGAAATAATCCAAAATTTTGCTTTTTTTTCGTCACTCGTCCCAAAGCAATTTCTGTTCTTGACATGGGGTCAGTAATCTGCAAACGGGGCTTAGCACGGCCCATAATTTTTTGGAGAGCTTTCCACAGACTGCGAAGCCACTCCTCATTTAGGGATGTTGAGAAACTCTTCTCCACCAGCTGAAATAGAGCACAAAAGATGAGGGATTTTCATCCGTCTTGAAACAGTTTCTTGCGTTTTTAGGAAAGCGGTAGCTTTTGCACTTGGATGAGCATTGGTCGTTCTTCTTCCCTTCGTGACAAACTCACCTATATTGTATCTCCAATATTTGGAAGAAGTTGCCTGTGAATTGCCTGATTTTGCTTCTTTTCTGGGATGGAAATCCCTCTGTGACACATCCCAGGGGCCACACCATCCTCGGGGGAAGGCGTTTTGCTCTTTGCGTCATCGTAAGTGGGTAAAATTGCCTCTTTTGATGTTAAAAATCTGCTTGCGGAGCACCGGGAGGGTGCACCAGGATGGTGCTGTGGACCTGTCCACCCACATGCTTGACGTGGAGACCACACGTGGAGGCTTCCTGGACAAAACAAGGGGATTTGGGGATGTTTCCTGAGATACCTGCAAGAGAAAAGCTCCATCCCAAGCAGTCTTCTGAGATGCCTTCCGGCAGCCACGGGTACGGTAGGAAATTTGGGTTGCTATGACAGGGAAGCCATCAAAAATGGTCCAGAGTGTTCCAAACCACTGATATGCATCATCTTTTTGGAAAAAAAAAAGCTCTTATTTCATCTTGTTTCTAGGACAACAGTTGGCCATCAGACTTGAAACAAGACGGTGCCAGACAAGAAGGCAGACGCATGTTGCACCGAAGAGCAGCATTTCCTGCAGGGATTGCAAGTGTTGGGGCACAAACCAGCCACTGGTCTTGACTTTCCAGGGAGCATGTTGACCCTGTGGTGTTTGTGCAGGAAAACTAGCCAAAAATTGGGCTGGGGTTTGTTCTCACAGGGTATCTTATGGAAAAGGTCTCAGAGAAGGTCCTGGAGAAAGTCTACGGAGAACATTGCCAAGATGGCCAACACTACAAACGGAGCCCCAAGACTTTGCCCAAAGTGGTAGATCTTCGTAATTTGTTCCTCACCCCCTACCTTCTCCCCATCCCCGAAAAAACATCTACCAAGCCCCAGCTGCCTCTACCAGGTTGTCCAGCTCCGGGTCATCACTGAAGAAGGGCTTGTGCTCCTGCTCCTGCTGGTGGACGAAGTTCTCGATGTCAACGTCAAAGCTGGCCGAGGTGATGCACTCGGAGCCCTGCGTCGCCTGCTCGCACTTCTCAAAGAGGAGAGTCAGCAGCGGGAACAGCGGGTGCCTGCAGAGGACAAAGGAGACCCCCCATAACGCCCAATGTTTTAGGTCCCATGTCCATTTGAACCCACACCATCCATCCATCCATCCATCCATCCATCCATCCATTCCCTCCCGGCTTGCAAGAGCCTGGTGCTGCAAACCTCACTCCCAAGCCAGCTGAAGTGCTCCCTCTAGACCTTTTCCAACAACAACAACAACAAAATAAGCTTAAAAATTGCAAAATCCACCATCTTCTCCACCAGTCAATGACTTTTCCCAACATCTTGGTGCTTTCCATCATTGCACCAAAGCCATCATTTTCAAAATGTTTGGCCACGGGCCAGGTTTGGCTTTGGGGTGGTTGTCTTGGAGCCGTCTGGTGTCCTGGTGGCTTTAAATTTTGGGGATCGACATCAGCACAATTACCAATAGTAATATTTCACCCCAAAATATCTCTCTGAGTTGGAGACGCCGGACGGGGATGAGCTGCTATTTCTACGTGCCCGCAGCATCCTACGGACCGACTTCGCTACGGGTTGCTCTTTCACCAAGAGGTCTTTTTGCACCTCTGTCAAGCACCTCCACGTCCGCCGATGAAGATGGGTCAAATCCCACTTCTTTCTTACCGCGAGATGACTCTTAGAATAAAACAAAGATTTGCGATTCTTCTTGCGAATCCACAATTCGCTCTAATGATGATGCCAGACCGATGCAATTTAAAACGCAAATGTACGTGCAACACCAAAGCGCATGGAGAAGAAGGGGATGAAGACCGTCTGTTAGCGCGCCTCCAGTGGTGCAAATTAAATAAAAAAAAAAAAAAAAGAAGAAAAAAAAAAAAGTATTTATGGAGTCTTTCAGGGGGGAAATGCCAAATGCTGCTCCAGGGGTGGTCTCCCCCAACACCCCAGTTATCCCAGCCCAATGGGATTCGCTCCACCATTTGATCTCCCGAAGGTGGTCCAGGGGACGATTACGAACCGCTTCCCGCCGGCCTCTTCCGCGCCGTCGTCAGGCGAAGGGGTTAACCCCCTGGGCTAAATCTTCATTTGCAGCCGCTAATACCGCCGCATATTATAGTTTAATCTGTCCTGATCCCGGTTTAATGCAAGACGCGCCGAGGGCTGGAGCGGAGAACGGGGAGGAGGGGGAGAAATTTCATAATTTCGGCGTCCCCGCCGGGGCTTAGCCCAGGGATATGAAAGGCAAATTCCAGGCGGCGGGCGGAATTATTGGGACTTACGAACCGTCGGCACGCTGCCATTTCCCGCCTGCGGGGAGCGAAGGCACGGAGTTACCCCACGGATGGGGTTGGGGTGTTTTGGGGTTGTTTGGGGTTTTTTTTGGGGGGGGAGGTGGAAGCTGCGGGGAGGATGGCTTGCTCTTCGGTGGGAAATAAATGAAATAAAATAAAATAAACTAAAATAAAATAAAATAAAACAACATAAAATAAAATAAAATAAAATAAAACAAAACAAAACAAAACAAAACTAAAATAAAATAAAACAAAACAAAATAAAATACCGCAAATAAAATACCACAAAATAAAATATCACAAAATAAAATACCTTAAAATAAAACAAACCACAACAAAATAAAATAAAACAAAAAAAAATAAAACAAAACAAAATAAACCAAAACAAAATACAACAAAACAAAATAAAACAAAATAAAAACAAAACAAAACAAAACAGAACAAAATAAAAGAAAATAGAATAAAACAGAACAAAATAAAATAAAATAGAAACAAAACTAAACAAATAAAGTAAAATACCACAAAACAAACCAAAACAAATAAAATAAAATACCACAACATAAAATACCCCAAAATAAAATACCCCAAAATAAAAGAAAACTAAACAAACAAAATAAAATAAATAAAATAATTAAAAATAAAATTATTAACATATAATATCTAATAAAACAATAAAGCAAAACAACATAACATAAAATAAAAAAAAGAAAAGGAAAACTGAAAATAAGGAAAAATTAAAAGGAAACAAACAAACAAATAATCCAAATCAAAACGAAACAAAATGACATAAACCAAAATAAGACAACATCAAGTAATGAAATAATAGTAAAATACCAAAAAAAGGAGGAGGTGGAACCCCCCCCGGGATGGGTTAAGGGAGAGCACCAAGGCCGCGAGCCGAGCTCGGTGTCGAGGAGCCGCAAAATTTGGGTTTCTGCCACGTGCCATGTGCTGAATTGTTGTCGTTCCAATTTATTTTTTTTTCTCCTTTTTGCGTGCAAAAAAAAATAAGTGCCTTTTTCGCCATTTCCAGCCTTCCCGTGGATTTTCCCCATCACGAGTGTTACGGAGGCGGAAAATCACCCCTAGGGCACAAGGAAGAGTTTTGGGGTGGAAATATCTGTTTTTCCTGTATATGGTTTGGGGAAAAAAAAAAAAAAAAAAAACCCCAAACACTTTTTTTTTTTTTTTTTTTTTTTTTTTTTTTTTTTTTTTTTACTATTCTGTTTATTGTTTGGGGAAAAAAAAAAAAAAAAACAACCCACAAACCTTTTTTTTTTTATTTTTTTTTTTTTTTCCCAGGGAATCCTCCAAATAAAAGGGCCGAACCGGCCCTGACATTTTGCTGCAGGAGAGAGGTCGTTGGCAGCCACTAATAAAAAAAGGATTCGACACGGGCTAATAAAGAGAAATGAATTCCTCTAACGGCCTTGTTTCGCACCAGGGCGGCACCGTGGGCACATCACAACACACTTTTTTTTTTTTTTTTCTTACCAATATATACCCCTTTCCCCCTCCAAAAAAAAAATTAAAAAAAAAATAACTGAATGCAAAGAAATCCAGCTGTTTCCCTCTTGGAAAAAATCCAGATGCTGCTCCAGTTTGAGCATCGTCTTTACCCCTCCAAAATCCCTCGGGAAGTCCCGGCTGTTGCGTAAAGTGAATAAAACACTTTATCTGGGGAAAAAAAACTATTTTTTCCTATTCTTTTTTTTTTTTCATGGGTGATAAACCTCCCACCAGAGCATAAAACCCGGTGGGGATGACGTGTCCAGCGGTTTTTCTATATCCCATCGCGTTTTCCCAGCAATTTCCCGCCGGGTCGACGGAGCGACGCTTACGGCTGATGGTGCAATTATTGAAAATTAATAAAAATTCATCATTTTGGGGTGGAGGTTTTCGCCCCGGGAGGGCTCAATGCCCTCTCCCCGTGTGCGTTTGGGAACCGATGACATAGACACAATCCATATTGAGAGGCGAATATTCCGATTTTGCGTGTAGCCCAAAAAAAGGCTCCGCTGGGTGTGTTTTGAGAGATAAAACTCTATTTTTGGGGGGAGGGGGAGGGTAGTTTGGGTCGGTACCCAAAAACGAGCATCCGGGTTTGCGAAGCCAAGTCCACGCGTGGGACCAGCCCACAATTTTTTGTTGGAAATACCTCCAAAAAGGTATTTCTGTCATTTTTTTTATATATATTTTTTTTTAACCTTTGAATGAAGGCTGTAAAAACTCCAAAAGGGTTTTGTTGGTTTTTTGGGTTTTTTTTTTTTCGGTTTTCGTTATCCCACGAATGCTTCTTTTGCCTCGACAGAATTCTTTCCGTCCTGGGAGAAAATTTTGAGATCTGCGGCGAAATAATCCTTTGCCTTTTCCTGGGAAACCGCTGGGTTTATTCCACCCCTTCCGTCCACCTCGCCGGACCTTCCGCACTTGTAATATTTCAATATTCGGAAGCGAAATATTTTAATCCCTTCGCTTCCGAGCTGCGATTTTTTGGGGTTTTTGGCCCCGGCCATGAACAGGGGGTTATACTTTAACCTTAAACCTTAATCCTAATTACCTTATAATGTTATACATTACTGTTATGTCACGACCGCATGCATTAGAATATCGTGAATAATAAAATATCACTTATATAATTGCATGTTGCTTATATAATTATGCCGTTTACATAATTATAATGTAACATTACAATTACAGGATAACGTTACGGCATATACGACAATATTATGTCTTATTAGCGCCAAAGAGGCAAACAAAAAAATACAATATTATGTATTATTATCTCCAAAGTGACCAAAAAAAAATTAAATACAATATTATGTATTATTATCTCCCAAGTGACCAAAAAAAATAAAAAAGGGGGGTCCGGAGGGGCTCTTCCACCCCGCGCCCGTCGCTGCCCGACGCATGAACTGCGCGTTTCAGTTTAATAGACGATTTTACTCCTTCTGGGTGCTTTTTCAGCCCAAAATCGCATGGTTTTGGCCCAAAAAAAAAAAATGAATTTGGATGTTGTGGGGGGGGATATTTTGGAGGGAAGCGCTGCAGATGGCGGTCAATGAAGTTGCTCCACCACCAGGAGCTAATTGCGAATCCCGCCCCCCCTTACCTGTGCGCTAATTAACGCGTTGGCATCACAGCGGGTTAATAACGCGGTATAACCACCCAACGAGTCGACGCATAACAACGCACCAACGAACCCGACGACGCGTTAACCGCTGCACTCATTAACGCGCCGCCGAAACCGCCGGGACCGAGGCGCTCGTCGGGGGGGAAGGAATTAAAAATAAAAATAAAAATAAAAATCAAGGAGAAAAAATAAAAAAAGAGAAAAAAAGCCAAAATTTGGGTTCGTTGCGCTTTTTTCCGCTGAGTTTTGCAAGTTTCTGCCTCGAATTTGTAAAATTCAGGAGGAGCGCCGCGGCGGGGCTGGGAGCGGGATGGTTTTGGGGGGGTGAAAACATATTTACGTTTCACCCCGGACCAGCGGGAGGAGCTTTGCCCACTTTTTCCCCTTTTTTCCTTGGGGGAAAACACAGGCAAAAAAAAAAAATCAAAAAAAAAATAATCCCGACATCGTTATTGCACCGGCAGCAAAGCAAAGGCGAAGTCCCAGATTAAATCAGCTGCAACGCCTCTGCTTGCCAAAATTTTTTATTTTTTTTTTTTTTCAAAGCAGGTATTATTGTCTAGACACACAGACGCTTTCAACTTTCTTCCAAAATTACGTGAGCCTCTTCCAACTCGCCAAGCCCGGGGCTGAGTCATTTTGGCACGGCGAGAAGGCAGCCAACAACAAAAAAAATCAAATTTTTCTTTTTTTTTTTACCTTTTTTTTTACTTTTAAATATTTTTTACTTTTTAATTTTTTACTTTTTAATTTTTTTACTTTTTTTTACTTTTTAACTTTTTTACTTTTTTACTTTTTTACTTTTTAACTTTTTTACTTTTTAATTTTTTTACTTTTTTTTTTTACTTTTTACTTTTTTTTACTTTTTATTTATTTATTTATTTATTTATCCCCCCCACACACCCCCGCCTGAATCACCCGTCATTAGCCCCCGATGCCGCGATGGAGAATCGCAACGCACCAGGGCTGGAAATTGGCGGGGAAAATTAGGGCTGTCATGCGAGAAATCGCGCCACTACCTAGAAGTTTGCCTTTATGAAAAAATTGCCATTATTTGAGTTGGATAGATGTATTTGAGACGTGTGAATCACTGCGCTCCCTTCCAGCATCACCCCCAAAACCGTTGCCCCCACGTCTCCAGGGCTGCACATATTTAGGGGCAATTTTCACTTAAAATTAACAATTTCATTAAAGAAATCGGAATTATTTGCTGCCGGGCTGCAGACAGGTCCGACGTCTGCCAGACGACGCATCGCTTTATCTTCACAAGATTTAATTTAAAAGAAAAGGGGGAGAATTTTAATCTAAGTGGGTTCAAACGCATCGGCAACACCCCACCCCCCCCCAAAATCCCCCAAATTCTGTGGTTTTAGCTCAAAATCTCAGGGGAAAATTAACGCCAAGGGGTTGTTTCACCTGTGTGGGAATGTAAAAAATTATCATTTGCCTCTTTTCACCGGTAAATCTTCAATCCTCCCTTGAGCTGGGTAGCAAAAGGAAGCCTCTACCTCTTCCTAAATATTATATATATAATTTATTCATTTGTCTAATATACTTATGTATTCATTTTCGTGTTTATTCATCTATAAATAAAATATCTATATACATTATTTGTCTAGTATCTTTATTTCTGTGTTTATATAGCTATAAAAGGATTTTTTTATTTTCTATTTATCTATTTGGCTAACACATTCGTTCATTTCCACGTTTATTTATACAGAAATAAAAGAGTTTTTTATATCTTAATTTCTTTATTTGTCTAATATACTTGCACATTTATTACTGTGTTTTATTTATATAGAAATAAAAGCAGCGTAAACCTGAGCCGGGCCAAAACCACGACACCTTTTCCTTTTAAAATGTTTGACTTTAACCCCCCCCAGCCCCATTTCCTACCTAAAACCAAAATGCAAACAGATTTTAGGATGCTTCACCCACCCCATTTAACATCCCCCCACCCTCTTTCTCTTTTTTCCCCTTTTTTTCTCCCTATTATCACCCTTGAAAACTACTTTTTTTGGTGGGAAAATGGCCTTTTTTTTTTATTATTATTTTTTTCCTTTTTTCTTTTTTTCCCCCCTCCTCACACTCATTTACCGGGAAGCCAAAGCCCCGAAATCCCGCCAAGTTGGCTCTTTCCAGCCAAGTCTGCAACTAATTGGGCTATTACCGAAAAAAAAAAAAAGCCTCCTCTGCGGCTGTTTCAAAGCCATTACCTCACCTTGGACTAGAGAAAATAATAAAAAATAAATAAAAATACTCCCGAGTCAGCGGAAAAAGAGGCAAGAGGATGCTCGAACGCGAGTGTTTGGAGCCGGATGGAGGGAGGAAGGCAAAAATGCAGCCAAAAATGGGTTTAGAGGGAGCAGGTGGGGATGGGAATGGAGGAAAAAGGTTTCTGGCTCGGGAGCGTGAGCGTGTCGGGAACTGGGGAAATATGGGGAAAAAAGGGCTGGATTTGGGTATGAGAGCTACAGGTGTTGAAAAAAATATAAATAATACAGGTGGGGATTTTTTTTGGGGGGGGGAAGGTGTCAGAAAATGGCCCGAAATAGTTGCAGGAGAAAAAAAAAATAAAAAATAAAAAGAAGTTTAAAAAGCGGAAAAAAAGAAGTTTAAAGTAAAGTTAAGAAAGAGGTGTGAAACACTGCATTGGAAAAGTGAAAGAAAGGTTAAAAATATGTAAAAGATTATGTTAGGGAAAAAAACGTAAAAATGTGGGGGAAAAAACGTAAAAATGGGGGGAAAGTTTGAAAATGTGAAATGTTTTGTCAAAAAGGGTTAAAAATAGGTGGAAAATGTCAGGAAAATGTGAAAAGGGGAAAAAATTGTAAACAAAAGGGGAAGAATAAAAGGGAAAAGAAGGTAAAAATGGTAAAAATAAAATGTAAAAAAAGGGTGACATTAAAATATAAAAAAGGTTAAATTAAAATATAAAAAAGGTTAAATTAAAATATAAAAAAGTAGAATTAAAATGTAAAAAAAAGATAAATTAAAATGTAAAAAAAGGGAAAAATTAAAATGTAAAAAATGGGTAAAATTAAAATGTAAAAAAATGTAAAAAAAAAAAAAACCAAAAAAGGGAAAAAAAAAAAGTTTAAAAATCCCCATGTTTTGGGGGATAATGTTGAGATTTTTGAGGCAGCGCTCGCTCGACGATGCGCCTCACCTCCCGGTGATATTCCTTTTTTATATCGTATTTCTAGCTTTTTCGCTTCTTTGGGAAGAAAATCCTTTGCCGGCATTAGCGGCTGCTCCCCGGGCAATTTGGGGACTTCCCGCAGGTTTAAATGTGATAATCCCGCTTGACTATGGCCAAATACATCAACTCCGGAGAGTAACCATTGTGGAGGTCTTCAGGGCGAGAAAATCTCCTAAATCAGCAATATTTACCCTATTCCTTCACGGTTCACAGTGAAATTTCTCTACCGCCATCGCCCGTGCCGAAAACAGCGGTTCTGAGCCCAAAAATGCGCTGAGGACACCAGGGAAAGGGGGGTGTCATTGATGCTACTGAAAAATCAACACCTCCACCCACTTTTTAATCCGTGACCTTTTTAAAAATGTCTTTTTATAATTTAAAATATAGAGAGATATTAATAAAAATTAATATTTTTATACTTAAAATCGATTTTTATAATTTAAAAATTAAATTTTTGTAGTTCTAAAAAATAGGTATACAAAATATAAGAATATGTATATAATTTTTTCATTTTTGTCCCTCATTTAACACCCTAAAAAGCACTTTTTTTGGGGCGGGGGATGGCGTCAAAGCTGCTTACATCACTTTTGGTGCTGCAAATGCCCTTTTTTTAAAACGACCCCTTTTTGCTAACTTTGACGACCAAACGGCTGAAGACTTTCCCTTGGCTTTTCCTTTGAATTTATTACGGGGAAAATGCAGATTTTTATGCAGAATCTTTAATTTTCAACAGGTAGAGCCGCTCGGCGAGCGCCATCGCGCTCAGGATAAATGATGCTCCATATTACACCCCCGTAGAAGAACCGGGTGATTATTAAAAATCTTTTTTTTTCCTCCAAAATGCAGCTTTTTCCACCATTTCCGCTTCATTTTTTGACGGTGAGGCCCAACGCTTGCACAGCCTCTGCCGTAAAACATTAACGCAAAGCTCCCCCAAACCCCTTTTTTAGCACTTTTCTCCCCCAAATAACCCCCTTGATGACGAGGAGCTGGTTGTAGCTCTAATAATTGACATTTTTTTTAATTTATTGCCGACCCTCCCCATCTCTTTGCTGACTTCACGGAGAGGAAATTTGAGCGATTCGCTGTTCCACACTCAAGAAATCCCAAATTTTCAGGTGAAAAGCTCACAGCGACGAGTCAAAAAGAGCAACTCTCGGCTGCAGCTTTTTCTCCAAACCCACTAAAATGAAGGGGAAAAAAAAGAAATAATAATCACACCGCTTGAGCAACCCTCTTGATAGAGGGGGAAAAAAAAGGAGGGATTTGGGCAACGATGCTCCTGAGGGTCCCCAAAATTCAACGTATTAAAACAGGGGGCAGAAAAGGGACAGGGATGGGGAAGGTATGAAGGGGAGGACACATCTCCGTAGGATGCTGCGGAAAATCTCGGCTATTTTAAAAGTCCTTTAAATTGCCCATTAGGACTAAAACGGCGTCGCGGCTCCCTGCTGCGTAAGCGAGAAAGGCGGCGTGGGGAGAGGAAAAAAAAAAAAAAAAAAAGAAAAAAAAAATTGGGAAAAAGCTCCTCTCGGAGCGGAGCGGCGAAGCGAGCAAATGATGACACAGAAGTTGGAGGAGCCATAAAAACCCCACCGAGGTGTCGTTTGGCAGAAGTGACCTTTTCCCACCCGAAGGAGAGACGAGCGGAAAGGAGACCCCGGTGGTTTCGGGGAGGGAGAGGTGGGGGGTGTGTAAAAATCAATTTATTTATTTTAGCTTGCAGAGAACGGGCTTGATTTTTTTTTCCTGAGACGGAAGATTTTTCTGCTTTTGCACCAAATGGAGGAAAAACCCCAAATTACCCATATTCCACCACCCCACACCCCCAAAAAAAAAAAAGCTGCTTTGAACACAGATCAATGCTCAATCCGGATCATCCCCACCGTGTCGCTGCGGATGAGGAAAGTGGAAACGTGAGGTGGATTGTGCACACACACCCCCCCCAAAAAAAACCTCAAGGTAGGCTGCAAGGCGCGGGACCTTCTCCGAAATCCAACCTCAACCCCCACGTCTGGCCCATTGGGATGCTCCAGTAGAGTTTCTCTTGGACAAACTCCTCTCCTTATAATAACTCCGTAACGATGCTCAGAAAAGTTATTCGACCCCTTAGAGCAACACTGGAGATGAAGTCTTTTTTTCCCACCACCACCACCACGAGTTGCCAAAAAACGCCGTAAAAATAAATCAAAAGGCCACTTCTACAGCTAGACCCGTCCCGGTTTAGCCAGATGTTTCATCTTTCCAGCTCGTTAATGTGCTCGCTGCAAACACACCACTGTGTCGGCTTTCCGAGAAGACCCCCTCACCCCAAAATAAGGCAGAAAGTGGAAAAAAAAAAAACCAAAAACCATAGTTTCTCCCAAAACCCTTCAATCTTGGAGATTGTATCGAGAAGGGGTTTACTTTTTGCCAATCTCTGAAATGAATGTTTTGGGGTGAAATGCTTTGTAATGGGGTAATTAACGCAGGAGTTCGGTCTGGAAGAGCCCACCGGGGGCTGGTGGACACTCACCTGTGGGGTGTCTTGGTAGGGAGGAGGGGGCACCGTCTGGGTGGCCATCATCGTCAGAGCCGGTGCCGGGGAGACATGGTGCATCCTGGGTGGGAGTCACATCGAGAACCTGCGGGCGAAAGAAATGCCGCTGGGTTAAGGGGGATCTCCACCCCAAAAAAATCCCTCGGAAAGGAAAAAAGAAGGGACAGAAAGGAGAGGTGACGTTCCTCGCACGAGCAAACTGCCACAGAGCTCCACCACCCAGGCCCTGGGAGGAACCCGAGATGATTTGATGACCCTTATCATAATTTGATGAGTATTTGAGTTTTGTGATTTTGGGTAAGGAATGCATCAGGGGCAAAGTGAAGAGGGTGGCTGGCAAGAAGGTCTTCCCTGGAGAAGGCCCACCCTCTTATGCCTATAACTGCAGTGCCTAAATGGGGGTTTCCATCCCCCTTCCTCGTTTTTGGAAGCGGGAAGACAAGTCACAAATGTAAAACTTTCAATTTTCTGAGATTATACACGAAAAAACACCCCAAACGATGTGTCTCTGCCTTTGGCCAGCATGGAGTTACATCCTCAAGCATTGCATGCTCAATCCAGAAGGGACATGGAGTATCCGATGTTGGTTTGACCGACATAGTTGACTCCAACATTGAGCTGACCGACATAGTTGACTCTGATGTTGCATTGACCAACCCAGTTGACTCCTACATTGAGTTGACTGTCCCCACGGTCACAGAAATGAGGAAAGAAGGTTCAAACGTTTGCTTGATTTGAATTGGAGAGCAAATCCTGATTTTGCACATCCCGGATGGACAACCTTGAAGCCAGGAGGCAGTCTGAGACACGCTGCCCTCAACCTCCCTTGAAGTTGATCTGCTTTCTGTAAATGGATAATTATTTGGGGGGAAAACAGACTCCTTTCCCCAAGTCCCAAGAAGACAGGGAAAAACGAAGGGGCACCAGGAAAGGTATAAGTTTGTAGAGGAGGTCTTGGCTGGATGCTGTCCCCGAGGATAGACCTGGTGGCAGATGTAACTGAAAAGCAAGTCTTGGCCCCAAAAATGCCTGCTCCCCTATTATTTCACTGCAGCTGTATGGTTGCTTCAGAAGAAAAGCCAATAATTTTGCTTTAATCCTCAAAAAAGAAAAAAAAAAACCAAGAGCCCTGTCCTGAGTCCTCTCTGAGGCTCTGAGCTCTGTATTGAGCCAACTCACAAAGCCACCCGGCAACATCTCCCCAGAGCCCCCAAAAGCGCATTTCTCCCTGCGCTGACTCCTTTTGGTCAGAGATGACATCTCTTGAAGGGTTCGCCCCATTGCAACACCCATCGTTGCGCTGGGCTCCCCGGTGGCTCCTCAGCTGAAGAAGAGCCGCGCTGCCATCCCATGAAGAAATGCAAAAAGTTATGTGAAGTCCTCCAACGTTGTGAGGGCATCTACCCAAAAATAGTGTCAGCGTCCCTTTTGCCGTGAAACGGTGATGTGCAGGAAGAAACACTCTCACGCAAGGCATAGGACCAGGGATATCGATGAGCTCAGTAAAAAAGAAGGCACATTTGGGGTCTTCAGATCAGTCTCCACAGCTTTTTTGGGGTAGTTTCACAGTATTCTGGTCTTCTCTGTGAGGTCCACGGTTCTTTGCGGGGAAGATTGGCAATATTCTGGTTTCTCCACGAGGCTTCGGGCTTTACAGGGACCACCAGGCACCAAGCGCACAAATGCAGCATGCCCAAGTGGAAAGTTGAGTGTTGTCTGCACGGGATGAGCATCAACCACTCATTATTTTGCGTGAATAAATTAAACAACAACAAAAAAATGTAACGCGTAATTACTTTTCTCACACTTTGCGTTAGTATGAGTTGAATATTAAGAGACCACATCCAAAATCCTGTGCGTTGGGAAGGTGGACTGGGGTCCTTGCACGACACGGACCTCTTGCAGCCAGAAGGATATCGCATTTATGGGATTAAAAACCACGCTTTTCATCTCTTTTTTTTTTTTTTCTTTTTTTTTTTTTCCCCAACAGCAAAATAGCGGGAGGCAAAAATTATCCGCTGCTGAGCGAACCCCTCGCTTAAAATCTTCGGTGTCCGATGTCAAAACGCGGCTCACAGCTGCAGGCACGTCCTCCGGGGGTAACGCCAAAGGGAAATCTCCCCCACCAGCAATCGCTGCAGCTGGAGAAAAGCAGAATTCAGCACCGTGACCGTCTAGACATCCCGGTGAGAAGCTTAAAAAAAAAACAAAAAAACCAAGAGTTTGCTATTTGGGGAAAAAAAAAAAAAAACCAAAAAAACCCTGCTTGGCATCTATTGTTCATGCCAGGAGTGAGCCTACCTCTAGAACGCAGTGATTTATTGTGGGGTGCGAGCTTTCCGGCCCAATATATTCCCAGAAGGTGGCAGTCCGGAGCCCAATTTAATTGCTGAAGATCACCTAACCTGCTAAAATTGTTGAGGCTTTACGTGCGGCGATTCGTTTGAAAAAAAAAAAAATAGGACTTAGAGCCAAATGTAAATAAAATTTAAAAAATAATAAAAAAAAAAGGACAAAAAAGAGAGAGCTGCCCGTAGCGGTGTATTTATCTTGGTGGGGGGAAACAAATGCAGTGGGGCGCCGGCGGGGAAAAAGCCGGACGGGTGCGAATGAATCTCGGGATAACAGTGGAAAGCATCAGGCCCGCGGATTTATCGGCAGCAAATGCAGGGAAGGGTTGAAAGGTGCTATTTTATGCACTAATCCTTATTTTTTGTATTTTTGGTTTTACGCGCTAATCCTCTCCCCCCTCCTCCCCCCCTCCTTTAAATCAATTTATCGGCGTGAGCTCTTCACCACCCGCATCCCGATGACGAAAGGAGCGGAGCATCACCCAACCCCCTGCCATCCCCTTGCAGATCAGCTCAAGGCAACCCTCAAATCTTGGGCGAAGAGCGAATTTCGGGAGGGTTGGGGGTCAAGGACGGCAGGAATTGCGGCCAACTCCCTCGGTGTTTGCAGAGAGGAAAGAAACGGTGAGCGATAAAACCCATAAAGGCTCTTTCATTTCCGGAAGCGGCAGTACTTTAGGTTTTGGCAGCGACCTGAGATCAAAGTATCCTAAATTTCCTTGTGAAATAAAATTATTTCAGCTATCGCTGAAATATTGCCATTAAGTTGGAAATGTATTTCCCAAAGAGCTTATGTCTACCTAAAAGAGTTGCAGATTTATAGGCTGCTTTTTTTTTTTTTTTTTGCCAGCAATATATTACCTCCTCTTTCAAATAAAAATAATTAAAGACTAAGTTGAGAAGTTGAATTTTTTCTTTTTTTCATCACGGGCACTGATGCCTTAAAAACATTTTTAAAGAAAACCCCACGTGTTGCAGACAGTCGTCCACCAGCCCCCAGGTGAATATGACCTTCTTGATTAATAAAACAGACGTAAAACCATATCAGAAGTAGAGCTGAATGCAAAAAAAAAAAAAAATCTACTGATATTGGATATCCAAAAGATCCAATAAATATCCAAAATATCCACTGGATATCCAAAATATCCAATAAAAAATAACTCCACATTATCCTTTTCAGCGGATGTTAGTATTAGCTTTGCAAGGTGCAACTCTTGTTTCCAAATCAATGGAAAATGGGGATTGTTCCTTCTAAACTCATTCAGCAGCTTCTCCCGGGCGGCAAAACATGCCATTGGTAACAGAGGATTCAACGCGAAAAATCAGAAAATCGGCTTTTCGGGTATTTCCTTTTCTCTACCCAAAGTTTCAAAATTATTAGCGATACGTGAAGATGATCTTCCGGCCATGGGAAGGTATTTTTTTCCATATTAGGGGAACATTGCCTTTTCTAAAGGGTATTTTTTTTATTTTATTTTTTTTAAAAAAAAAAAACTTTGCAATGATGCTGTGTTAATCATGCTCCCTCCGCAGCGGGCTGCAATTTTTTTATGCCACCGTCTTCACGGAAGGCTCGTGCGTGCGGAAGTTTATGATATATGCATTCATTATATGCATATATCTAGGTTAGAATGAAGAAATATAGCCGAGGGGAAAGGCAGCGGCACCTCCAGAGGACGATACATCTCCCTCTGAACTGCCAGCGAGGACAGGTTCACCCTTGGCGACTCTTCATCCGCCAGAAAGCGAATGGAGAGCAACCCTCTCGCTCTTCAACGTCTCACTTCTGTCCGCCAACCTGCACCCTTTTCGCTCGTTTTTACCAACTTGCGCCACCCTGAGCTCACCAAAAACACCGCCGATGCTATTAAACGGTCAAAAGTCCTCTTTTTCCAAGACATCGCCCGTCACTTCTCACATTCGAGTTCGCCTCGTCTGAGGATATCGGGAGCGATCGCGCGAGAAATACCGCTGGGCCAGCAAATATTCTTAATTTGTTAGGAATATTTGGTAGCCAAATTTCCTCTCTGCAAACCCAGGAGGGTTTTTTTTTGCACGGGGAGCGCCCTTTGCTCTTGGCCAAGATGCCGCTTCCCTAAATGCTGACCTTCGTACCCTTCCCGGCATCCCGTTATCGCGTTATTTCCCAACAAAAAATGACAAGTCGAGCCTCTGCTTCTGCTGCCACCACGCGCTAAAGCAGAGAGAGATTTGATATTCCTGCGGGATAAACCCTGGGCCAGAGCAAACACCTTTTCTATTTTTCTCCTAAAAAAAAAAAAAAAAAGCTCTTGGTCAATGCATAAAGACTGGGGTAGAACGGAGAGGAGAATGCCATGCAGGACAACGCCAAAAAAACTCCTGCCAAGCGCCGGTTTGGTTCATCATCGGATGAGCCATCTCCCCCGGGAGGGAAAACAGCATTTATTTATTCAATGTATTTATTGAATACATCGAATAATGAATTTATTTAGTATTTGCCAATCCTCCCCCCAACGCCAGCTCCGTAGAAAAGCGGGGGGGAGCTGCTGCAGGGAATTTCCGACAAGAACAACAATTACCGCTAAATATTTCTTTCCTCTCCGAAGATACCCATCCCTAAAAGGCTCCAGGGATATCTCCGCAACATAAACACGAGAATAAAACCTGCAAGAGGCAGTCAGAGCTTTAGTAGACAAGGTTAATGTACCTTGAACGGCAGCATTAAAC